AACTTGATACTCTGTTTTCCATTTCTTTCATCCTATTGGTGAGGCTTTCTCCTGTCATTTCTAATTGGCTTACTGAGTGTTTCACTTCCTTCTTCATTTCAGCCTGAGTATTCTTCAATATTTCTAACTCTTTTCTAAATTCATTCAGAAGTTTATCCCTATTGTCCTTCAGTTCTTTTTTTGTGTGTGTTCTTTAAATTAACTGAATTCTTTTATCATGTTTATAATTGTTCTTTTGAGTTCCATGTCCTGCATTATCTCTAGAGGTTTCTCATTGTACTCCTCTAGAGGACTATTGGTATTTGGTGGGGATATGTTATTTTGGTTTTTCATGTTATTATTTTTTCTCTGTGATTTTAACGATTTTGGCCTCAGGAATTTGGGGGGTTGGATTGGCCTGGGAGCCTGGCCCAGGAAAGATGCTGGTCTAGGGCAGCTGGTGGCCATGCAACCCAGAGATGCAAAGGCAGATGGGGCAGGAAGAGGTCCCAAGGCCTCCTGGGAACTGCACTGAGGAGCTGTGTTGGTCTGGATGCAAAGGATCAGGAAGAGGAAAGGTCAGCCCCCTCATCCCAGAAAGAGGCTGGTGGGTGGTACAGGCCCAGGGAAGCAGAGGGAGGTGAGGGCGGGGCCAGGCTCAGAAGCAGTGCCCCTGGGGCCCAGAGAACGCACAAAGGTGGTCTGGATGAAAAGGATCAGGAAGCAGTATTGGTTCTGGGGCCCCAAGATGAGGAATGGGACAGGACCCAAACTAGGAGGAGAGACATTGGGGAAGATGGGAGGGTGAATGGGGCTGGGGGAGTCAAGGAGTGGAGGGCGCGATGGACTTACCCTGGTGAGAAGCCTGCGGGTCAACCCTTTCTTCTTTACAAATTGATTTATCTAAGGTATTTGTTATAGAGACAGGAAGCCAAGTTACATTTTTATTTCCTTTTGGGTTAGTATTTTCCATGTCTGCAGACTCCTCTCCACCCTCTTGTTTCCCCTCCCCCTCCTCTTCCTCAATTCTGGGATTGAATTTAGGGTTTTCCACTTTCAAGGCAGACACCCATGTCATTCAATGCCTTCAGAGGCCAGAAGAGGGCATCAGATACCCTGGAACTGGAGTCACAGAGGGGTGTTGGCCACCATGTGGGTGTGGGGGAACAGAACTCCATCCTCACAGAGTGGTCTTAACTGCTGAGCCATGTCTCCAGCCCTTTGAGTCTTACTACATAGCCAAGTCTTGAACACAAGACTGCCCTCATTTCCTGAGAGCTGGGATTAGTGGCATTCAACACTATGCAGGGCTCCTCAGTTTATTTAACTGGTTTAGTAGTCTTCTAACCTTCTAATTTCTGTATTCTTGATTTTAGTAATATGAGTATTCTCTATTTCCTAACTCAGTATCAATAAAATTTGTCATTTTTGTTCATCATTTCAAAAAACCAACTCTTGGCTTCACTGGTTTTATTTCTTTCATTTCACTTATTTCTGCTTTAATCTTTGATTTCCTTCCTTTGCTGTTTTCTAGTTTAAGTTGCAAGGTTAGGCTGCTGTTTGGGTATCTTTTTAACATACAGGAGCTTGGATTAAGAGGATCTCAGTTCCCCCATTGAGTGGCTCACAACTTCCTCTAATTCCAGCTCCAGGAAATCTGATACCTTTTGCGGCCTCTGTGGGCACCCATACACACATAAGTAAAAATCTAAAAAAAAAGGAAATAGGCATAGCAGCTGATTATATAATTTATCATTTTGTTTCCATTTTCATTTAAAACTATTTTAAGTTACTCTCGTGGTTTCTACTTTGTCCAGTTGGTAAATTAGGAATGTGTTCTATTTCCACACATAAACATCCCATTTAAAGTTTTTTTTATCTATTATGTGTATGAGTGTATTGCCTGCATGTATGAGTACGCACCGTGTCTTGAAATGCCATGGAAGTCAGAAGAGGGCTTCGGATTCCCCCTGGAATTGCAGTTAAAGATGCTTCATAGCTGCCATGTGGGTGCTGGGAATCAAACCTGGGTCCTCTGCAAGGTCAGTGCTCTTAACCACTGAGCCATCTCTCCAGCCTCAAACTTCCCATTTTTTGTAAATGCTACCTCCTTGTATCCTACTGTGAAGGGCACACTACACTGTCCTCTACTGAGCCTTGCTTCATTGCTTAATGTGGCCAGTACTGGAAAATATTCGGATAGAAGTTCCCGAAGTTCCAAAGACGTACTGCTTTCGGGTAGAAGTGCCCAAGATGCCAGGTCTAGGTGTTAGAATGCTGTGCAAGTCTATTACCTTCTAATCTTCTGCACAGTTGTCCTGTCCACCATGTTTTGTATAGGAGATGTATGTGTTTTTGCCCACTCTGCCCACAACCACCTCCTTTCTACTTTTACAGGGTTATGGGTTCAAAGAATGCCAGGAAGGCTGTCTTCCAATGCTGGAGTAAAGTCAAGTTGGGAGACCTGCACTGGTCAACGCCCTCAGATGCCTGGACCCCAATGCCCCAGAGGCCTGACTCAACTGGCTGTATGTGGCTAGGGTGTGCTCTATTCTTTTTAATGACTCCCAGGCAATTCAAACACGCAACGTGAGCAGAGCTAATTTTCATCTTGATCTCCTTAGACAAGTAGTGCAGCAGGCTCAGAGCACCAGAGTGTGAAGAGCCTTTTCCTGGGTGCCTGGTCACCAACTGGGTGAGTGACGATGGATAGCTGTACTGCCCCTCCCCCCGAGCCTTAGTTTTCTCATTACTCATGAGATAAACAAATGCATCACAAAATCAGTAAGAGACCCCCAGATTGGTTCAGGGTCTGGAGAGGCAGTGACAGGTTAGCCAAAGGGTCCAGGGTCCCTTTTAAGATGTCACTATTTGGCAAGTGCCAATTTGGCAATGCACACTTTCCTTCCACTGGAGAAGTAACTGTGTACACTGTGCAACAGCCTCTGAAGCCAAACACAAATATTTATGCGCACTCATGTGTCTCAGCAGCTTTAAGAAAACACCCCCATGAGAAACCTGGCAAGTGAAAATCAGAGAAACATTCCAAATGTGTTAAGAAATATTAGTTTTATTTAACCAGTTTTCACAGCTGAATATTTATTCTATAAAAACTTTACAGATTGTACAGTTTATATATAGTTCAAACTACTAAACGAAAAAGTAGGTCCCACAGATGCAAAAATACTGTACCAATCCATCCACGGTAAAGGCAGATTTACACACTGCACAGCCTTTCTCATGGCTGAGAAGGCATCAGCTCCGAGTATAAACTTCAAAACTGTACAAAAATAAGGTTTCAATTTATTTCACTCTTCATACATTCATATGACTACAAGCCCAGAAGCCTAGTAATAACAGGCACCTGCAGTCAGGAGTCAGTCCCCCTTGTGAGGGGCACTCGTGGACATGACACTGTGCTCAGTATACAGTAAAGACATAAAAGCTGAGACTGAGAACATTAAATGTTGAATACAAGGTAGTTCTTTTTGTTTTGAAAGGAGTTTCTGTATTTAATAGTGTGCCAAGAGGATTTTAACTTATTAAATAAAATATATTCTAAGTGAACCTAAAAATTATACTTTACAAACATAAAAATACTTTTTTGGTGTAATACATAGTATCTGCAGATAGAAAACCAAAACTGTAAAAAGTAGTACTTCTCACCCAGCCACAGTACTTATGCAGTCATATTTCAAAAGGGCCAGAAAAACTATTTAAAACCACTAGTACTAATTTATAACTTAAGCTAGTCAAACTCAAGCTATTCAGTGGCTAACACTGCAGTGTAAGCTTCGCAGAGTGTTTTTTTTTTTTTCTTTTTGTTGTAACTGGGTAAGAAAGAATAGGATACCTTTAAACAGGGAGAGTCAGCTGGCAACTCAGCATGAACCTCAAGTGCATGATGGGATTTTTTTTTTTTTTTTCATCAGAAATGCTTTTCCTACAAGGCAGGCCTTAATTCTGAGTACAATTTCTCCACCACTGAGGTACTTGTTCCTCCCTCCTTGGACGCAGGAAAATGTTCAGCTATTTCAGCATCTCTGTTTGGGGTAAAGGAGGGAGGGGAGGCAGGCCCCTTTAAAACCAAAAAAAAAAAAAAAAAAAAAAAAAGGTTGAGTAAAACATTATTCCAAACTTTGCTATCAACCAAATTGAATAAAACACAAAGCCTTTTTTCTTTTTTTTTAAGGAAAAAAATAAAAAATTACAGTACCAGGCCAAAGAAATTAGAGCTTCCAAGAGCAGTCTAGTGCTCACCATTACATTTTATATGTGTGTACATGAGTATACAATAATGACATTTGGACAAAGGAGCTTTGTAGTTATTTATTTTAAAGTTACAGTACTTAAAAAACTCCTTGGTAATAAATAGCCTGGATGTTTCCAGTCTTGATTCCAAGCATGAGCTACTGTGAGGACGGACTGTGGTCACTGGGAGGTCTTTGATGTCACGCTCAGACCAGTTCCAGGGTCATCCACATGCAGCCTGCCAATCAAAACTCATCGATTTTCCTCTGCAAGTACTTTAACATGGAGTCCATGCCCTGGGCAGAGCCCCAGATCTTCTTCAGCACTTCACATTCTCTCTCATTGGCCTGCTCCAACTCCATCTTCATGTTGCAGCGCACCAGGGCTTTGGATTCCTCCAGGACCTGCAGCGGACGGCAAACACGAGTGAGTACTTTGCTCAGAGACAAGCGCCAAGCCTCCTCAAATGCACAAGAGCAAACATTAAACCCGAGTCATTACCCGTTAAACAGTGTAATACATTAAAAAAAAAAAACACGTCAGGTCTATTGTAGCTAAAATGCCATTGGCCCTGCATATCTGGATTCTGCTAAAGTAGGACTGAAGATTCAGAAAAACAAACAAGTCTGTACTGAATATGTAGGCAAGACCTTATCATCCCCCCCCATATAGCACACCACTTATTACACAGTATCTGCAGGGCATCAGGTATTCTAAGATGGAGAGGGTGCACACAGAACCACAGCATGCTTCTTGGCACCTGTGGACTCTGGGTATGGCAATGGTGGTGAGGCAACAATAGGTTGTGGGTACAGAGAGATGTCTGGATCTTTAATGGATATGGAGTGCATTCTCAGCTTGAAAATGGCTCTTTAGTGATTTCAAGTGGGCTGGTGTGAGGCCCAGTGGAGGCCCACTCCACTGAGGTTCAGTGAATACTCCTAGAGTGTTTGTTGATGGAATTTTCTAAACGAAATTTAATTTTAACCATGAAGGTTGCTCATACATCTCCAAGAATTAGATGAGAGCAGTATCCATTCACATGAAGCATTTCATCCAATTGTACCATTAAATCAAGTTTTAAGACTGATTATTCAGCACACTTGCTAAACAAAAACCCAGGAGCACTGTATGTGAACCAAAGCACGTGATCACACGGAAGGGCTTTGTGGACAGGAAGCAATGGTAAAAGGATGGATGTGGTGGACTTGCACAGGACACTTGAAGCTACTCAACTTCACACTGGAGTCCATGACACAGGGAGATGAGCAGCTGGCGCAGAGCACCAGTCTAATAAAAGGCTTTATTCTGTATTATAAAAAGCAACATGTAAAAGAACCACTTAGACGTACAACAGGGTTACATGAGGCGAGCTCCTTGATGCGAACCATGACTTCCTGCGTGAAGGTCCCGGGCCAAAACACCTGGGAGACCAGGCCCTTGCCACATGCCTCCTGTGCAGTCAGCTTCCGCCCACTGAGCAACATTTCATTGGCCTGAAAGGAAGAAGAGATGTGAAATACAAGGGGAAATGGGCAAAGAAAACCCATCTAGAAAACTCAACCCTCAAAACATCCAAGCCAATGATAGGCTTGTGAAGGCACCAGACCTTGCCTCATGTTAGCCACTAAGAATAAACCATGTGCAAGGAGTGACCAAGTGGGCAGATGGGAAAGTAATACTGTGGGCCAGTTCTTTTTCTCTTTTTTAAATTCAAGGCTTACTTCATGATGTCATTCAGATTCACACAGAGAGCAGAGAAGAAATCCAAATTAAAGAAGGAAAGTCTATTTTGTGGTTAATCTGAACTTGATAGTTTAACTTCCTCTTTCACCCTAGTTTGTCCTCTTAATGCCTGCTCTTGCCACAAGTGAACTCACTTAACATGCAAAACAATCTGGGGACACAAGCCACTAACAAGAATAGATAATTCACATTTTCAGGGAGTTGAAGCAAACAAACTATTTTTCTCATCTGGAGGGCTAGCGGACTTGTTGATATGGGATGTCCTTCAGGTACTGGATGTTACTGTTGGAGGAATCGACACCTTGTCACATTTTATTGCATAGGTATTAACTATGTATGGCCTGAATGAGTCCCAAATTACTGCAGTCTGTTCCAGAGGTTCTCAGTTATTTTACATGATTTAATAGAGAAAGTGAATATGCTTCTGTCAAAAAAAAAAAAAAAAAAAAAAAAAAAAAAAAAAAA